CAAAGGCCTTCCCCCCAACTTCCCCCTTTCCCGCCCCCACCCGGCCCCGGCCGGGCCCGGCCCGGCTTTCCCGCAGGCTGGAGACGCGCCGGGGAGTTCCGCACGCGCGGCTGCGCGATGTCACCTTCCGCTGGCTCGACGGCGGCGGAGACGGCGGCGGCGAGCTGCACCGGCTGGTGGAGGAGCGGGGCGTCCGGCTCGACGCGGGCAGAGGCCCTCTCGCGGACGGGTCAGCCTCCCTCGACGCCGAGGCGATGCTGCCGCTTCTGCCGCTCACATCGCCCGCCGTCGCCCACCGCGCACGGCTGCCGCTGCCGGCTGCCTCTGCTCCACCGCCCGCCGCACCGCCGTTTGTGGCCGCCGCATCGCCGCCCGCCGCTGACGCAGCGTCGCTGCCGCCGCGCTCCGGCAAGGCGCCCCGCCTAGAGGGGTCCCCTCGGGAGGGGTCCCCTCGGGAGGGGTCCCCTCGGGAGGGGTCCCCTCGGGAGCGGCCTCGCCTCTCGGCCTGGCCTGCCGGCACGCGCAGCTCTGCGCGTGCGGCGCAACTCTGGGCGGGGCCTGACCGCCCCCGACCCGCCCCCGGACCCGACGTAGGCTCGCTGCTCGATGGCCCGGTGGCGTGCATGGCTGTCGACAGCGACACCGGGCGCTTCGCCGTGAGAGGGAAGCGGCAAGAGGAGAGGGACTGAGGCGTCACCGCCGCCGTTTTGGGTGCTAGACTCGCCGCCGTCGCTTCGCACACCGGTGCCGTCGTGCTGATCGAGCCGGGCGAGGAGGCGGAAGAGGGCGGAACAATAGGTGGCGAGGGCGGCGGCGGGCAGCGCGCAGGTAGCGACAAGTCGGGTGGCTCTACGGGGCGCATTTGCTTCCGCGGCTCGCACCGCGGCTGCGAGGCGCTCGCTTTCGCCACATGCGTGCCTCCCTCCGCCGACTCGCACGCGCGCGCGCACGGCGCGCTGCTCTCGTGCAGAGATAAGCAAGATGAGTTCCTTACGAGTGAGTCTATCAACCAGGCGCGCTGCTCTCGTCCGGAGCTGACGGCGCCGTGCGTTCCTGGAGTCTGGAGCGGCGCCGCAGCGATGCCGCACCCGCCGCCGCGCCGCTCCACTCGCTGCTTCTGTCCGGCGAACACTCGGACCGGACAAACGGACGACCGACGGTGCAGGCGGTGGCATCGTGTCGCGGCGACGGCGCCGCGGCGGACGATGCCGCGACGCGAGGTCGAGCGGCGGGCGGCGCCGCAGCGGCGTGCGGTCGGTCGGTCGTCCCCCTCCACGTCTCGCGTGCCGGTACCGACCCCCAGCGCCCCGCCCCCCACGCGCGGCTCGCCTCTGACGTGGCGGCTCGGCGTCCGCTGTTCGCAGGCTTGCTCAGCGCGTCGAGTCCGTGTGCGCCGCTGCCGAGCACAGTCCGAGCCCTCGCTTACTCTCCCAGAGGCGAGGC